AAAGAATCAGAAAACTATTGAAATGTCATAGGGTTTTAGTCGAATTTTACAAAGATCTAGAAAATGCAGCACCTTGAAAGTAAGATCGGTTCTGGGTTCTTTCATAGACTTTTGTCCCCCGATGTCCTCTATCGATTAGTGAAAACTGCAGATGTCTAGCTGCTTGCATTTTTTAGTTATTCAAAAACTAATGAAGAACACTATTTTGCAACGAACAATAGAATACAAATAGATTGAAATAGTAACTTAGTGTTTGAGTGAAGATTGCGTCATGTTTCTGGTCAGGTTGAAACATTGTGTTGACGAATGTAGAATCGTTATGTTAGTTCAAAACATTGCGCATATTTGAAACGTTACTTACTTGTCTCGTGATAATGGTGCTCATAATTACGAACGTAGCTTCAAAGAAAGCTGAGCTCATAATTCATTCTACGAAAATAATATCCTATCATTGAACATTTGTGTTATCAATTAGCATGAAAATTTTTGTAGTATCTCCAATCGATCACTTCGTATCAAGATGGAGCAATAAACGTGAGAATCGGCGAGACCCACCATTGTAAAAAATTGTTGCGATTAATTGTAATGGCTGTCTCTTTATCTTGGTGTAAGCACAATAGTCACATCATATACAGTGCAGTATCTTAGATGAATATTTGATATTTCAGTCTATGTTGATTATCGAACTGGACAAAGTATTCTATTTTAGACTATTCTTTTTGTTGCTTACACGCCATTATTCATTAGATAGTTTGTGTATGCTATTGACGGTACTCATTTGTTGTGTTAATTTGATTTCTATGTTGCAGGAGGACATCTGTAGGAAGTTCTATGATTATGCTACGGATATAAAAACATTATCCAAAGGCATGTTGCATTCTTGTTTATGATCAAAGTTTTTACATTCTTTTAAGATTTCACTTGTTTTAGCTGCAAATTTTTATCTTGAAGCAAGGCCACGATGCCAAATGATCGTTCTTCATATTCGACAACACCATCAACTTATTCAAGTAATCATTCTAAATTCACTAATATTTGTGAGCACAGTTTTTTCAGAAATAGACAAGAATTTTGCTTTTCGTCGAGAAAAAATATTTAGTGATAGAATAACAATGTGTTTAAAGCATCAGATGAAGGTACGATTGTTGGATCAAACTGGAAAGTCTTGGTTTTTGTTAGGGTGCACTGCTCATCTTTGTTCTCAAATATACGTTTATCGAAACAGTCGAGAGCCGATTCCGAATAATTTATACACTTTTCTTGTATGTGATTCAGGTAATTGTATTTTGACGCATTTTCGACTAGTATTCTTGCCGTTGATTCTCATTAGAATTTGGAAAAAATACATTTTATCGTTTTTTTTCGAACGCAGTCGGTAAATGCTAAATATCCGATGAACGATGCAGTGATGACACAACATTTGATGTCTGAGGATCGTCAACGAATATTATTGATACACAATATGTTCTCAATGAGGTAAATAATATTCATTAGGAACTAAAGGATACATTTAGATAGAGAATGCCCCATTTTTGTCGCCGATGGTCCGTAAATGAATGTCTACTTTGAGAAAAATGCTATCAACAGCTTTTGGAAATACTTGATTATTATTTATATCTCAAAATGTCATATAGTAAAAAACGTTCAAAACAGTGTGAAGCATACTTTAATGAAATGTGGATTCAGAACATCTCATTTCTTCTCTTTGATTTTTGTTCAGAGAAACCTGTTAAAATATACCGACTTTCAACTTTCATAGATAAATATGAACATACATCTTTTTTTGTTTTTTTTTTTTGTTTTTTGTTTTTGCGTTTTATTGTTACACTCTGAAGTGCTTACAAAATGGGGAAAAAGAAAAGGAAGGGATAGGAAGGAAGAAAACAGATGGGGTTAGGCCCCGTGATTCTCCTTGTCATAGGCGAGATCTCCTTCTCACTTTTCTTATGTTACATAATCATTCAAAAAGGGGGGGGGGCAGGGGGAATGACACACAGAATTCTATCCATACGCAAATTCAATCCATTTAATCAATAACGTTTCATGCCTGTTCATCATTTTCTTCACTCTATTTAATCTAAAGAATTGGTCTAACGAGTCTTTTTCCCTTTTCCTAACCTGACTCCAGTAAAAAAAATGTCTTCTAAAACAGTCGATCGACATAAATCTGACTTGTACATATTCCAGTCTGTTCTTAATGTATTTCTGCGCGTAGAATTTAAGTGGTTTTTCATTTGTTATTACAAATAAATCATTTACTTTTACATACGGCCACCTATGTACTATTCTGATACCCACTCCGAATTTTCTATCCAAAGCTTCATGTTGTGTCTTCGGCAGGAAAGGGTAGACAGGAAATATCCATGCCAAATGGGGAAAAACATATGCAAAGAAACATTGTCTTAATACCTGTTTCACGATCCTTCTACCTTTTTTCAGTCATATCAGTTTAGCAAGTGCCTTTCCAGCTTTTCCGAGACATTGCTCAACCGTAGGTTTAAGCGACATTTTATTCTTCCACGTAAACCCTAAGAATTTAAAGGTATTTACTATCTCTATTTTTTGCCCTTGCATATATATATTTAATTTGGGTTTTTCTACTTGAGTGTAGAAAACCTGTCCAACTGTCTTTTGCACGTTGATCGGCTGTTTCCATCTACTTGCATATTCCGCTATTCTAGTACAGACCTTCGAACCTTCTTTTTCCAAAAATTCAATTATTGAAGATACACTTCGTGTGATGGGCACCTTTACCAATATGCTTAAGTCATCTGCATAAATATATCCTGAGTGCGCATCTGCACATTGACTTAAGTCACTGTGGTACACTATAAAGAGGTAGGAGCTCAAGCTACTACCTTGTGGTAATCCAATATCAATATGGAAACTGTCTGATCTTTCCTTTCCAAAGGCGATATAAGCCTGACGGTTCTTTAACCACGATAGGGTCAGTTTCAACAACTCTAAAGGCATTCCTAGTCTAGATAATTTTACCAACAGACCAGTATGCCACACAGTGTCATACGCTTTTTTAAAATCCACATACAGAGCAAGTGTAGGCATATTCGCCGCAAGACTATTCTTTATTTCATGGTATATCGACAGAACTCTAGTACTTAAGAGTCCTCCCGGTCGAAAACCTGATTGTTCGGTCGGAACTAGATGAGCTCCTTCCGCCCAGATCCTGACCCTTTCAAGTACTACTTTTTCAAACAATTTCGAATGAGTCGGCAGGAGGGAGATCGGTCTCGTCTGATCGGTTCTCGGTACATCGGCTTTTAATTTGTTCAAAGTTACCACTTTCGCCAATTTCTAAAACTCTGGATACTGACATCTTTGTAACCAAATATTAAAACACTTCATCAGGCATTGAACATATACTGGTGGAAGTATTTTGATCATATAATTGGAAACTTCATCGTACCCGGATGATTTCTTGTTCTTCAACTTCCTAATCAACTTTTGTATTTCCAGTACAAAGATCGGTTCTAGCTTGAGCGACGTGGAAGATGTAACATCATTCACGATTAGCTTATATTCATCTTCCACTTCACAATCGTGTTTATCATCGTTGTTTATGGGGGGAGTTTTAGCTTGTTCTGTATAATAATCACAAAGCGCCCTCGTTACCTCTTGATGATCACAACTATAGTACCTAATCCAACAGCTAATTTTGATAGAGGGAGAGTTTTCGGCTTATAAATCTTCGATAGATGAGACCAGAAGGCATTTCCTCGTACATCATGGGAGTCTTGTATGGTCGAGAGAAGGCTTTTCCAATGGTCTGATTTATATTTATTTATTTCGTTTTTAACAAATCTAATCATCGTCCTTAACAACTTCCTTTAATCATCATCAACCATACCACCACTCTTTTTTCTCACTCTATAGTATTTATTCCGCACTTGTCGAACTTCTTTCAGCATAACAATTATATACGGTGGGAGGGAGGGACGATATTTATCCTTGTATCTCCACTTAGTCACTCTGTTCTTCAATGCAGCTAAAAACGAACATAATTCTGATACCAACTATCGGCATCTTGCCTGTTTGATTCATTTATCCAAAACTCTTGCAACAGACTCAACACCACCTCGAACACTTTCCAATTCACTATTGGGAAATGGCCATTTGTTAGAATACCTATTTGATCACTTTTCATGACCATAGGCCAATGGTCACTTGATCCTAATAACAAGGTTTCTGCCTTAGCATCAGCAACATTCGTAAAGATAAGGTCAATATGTCGTGCAGAGCGTTTGGATGAATATTTTGTTTCAGGTATAAAAATCAAGTTCATTTTCTCTATCCATCTTTTCAAGAGAAGACCTCTTGCATCAGTGGAAGGACTATTCCATTCATAAACTGAAGCATTAAAATCTCCAGCTAAAACCGTTCTCCCTGTTATGAAGGGTGATAATTCATCTAAATTTCGATTTTGGCAATGAGGTCAATAGACTCCGATCACCCTAACGGGTTCAGTTAGACCATCAATATCCACTATCACAGTGTTCTCTGTTTTTATATCAATTCGTGTTGCTTTAAGGTGTTTCCCTACCGCTACCACCACACCACCTTTACCATCTGTACCTCTTTGATAAAGGATATTGAAATGGGGGATAGTAAAACTGTTCCACAGTTCTCCAACTTCTGTAAAAATACAGATAGAACTGTCAGATTTAAAAATTAATTCAATTAATTCTAAAGCTCTTGTTCCCCACCCTTGAACATTATATACAAGAACGTTTAGAGGAGATTGTTGACATGACTTCGGGGTTTTTTTCTTTTCCCAGAGGTTAAAAATACTATTTAGTGTGTTTTCTGAATACCATTCACTCATAATCTCAATGATGAGTTGAACTATACTAGAAGAGAAACCCCAATCTATGACCTTTTGAATCACGGTGCCTATTACATCAAATGAAGATGAACAATGTGGAGAAGGTTGAAGGGGAAAAAACGACGAAACATGCACATTTAACAAGGAAAAGTTACTGTTACTAAACATCAGTTATTTCCATAAACTGTTCATCGTCCACCAGAACGTTTTTACCTTTGTTAATCGATGTTATTGCTATTTGATTTGTCGTTCTATTAAGAGGAATTGAAGGTGGTATTTCTGATGTTAATTCAACTTGTTGTTGTTGATGATCAATATCAACGGAAAGTGAATTAAATTTTGCTATAAGATCATCTTTAAATTCTTCAATTTGTTGAACAATCTTTTGTAGTAGGAGTTGTTAGTTTTTCTTTTCTAAAGATGCATTGATCATTTGTTACATAATATTTGCTAAAACAAAAATAGCTTGTTTATTTATAAAGGATTTTTTTTCTAATAAATCCATTTGCATAACCTGGTTATCAAGTTTTAATTCCATTTTACGTGTACTTTCTAAGACCATTTTCATTTGTGTAACAAGTTCACCTAAATGATCTGTTCCTTGAAAATGTTGTAAATTACTTGATGCGGCTTCTACACCTACCCACGCTAAACGTGGTTTATTTGTTTGTTTAGGTTTAAGTGCTGGATAATCTAATTCACCACTATCACATGTACCACCTTTATTATCCACCTTGACCTGATTTAACCGCCCATCCTTAACTGCATTATTTACTTCTTCTTTTAAAATACGACGATAATTTAAAACTACTGGGCACTCCATACTTAGAGAAGCATGAGGACCTTGACATTGAGCACATAATACTGACTTTTGACATGTATGATTAAGATTCCATAAATCTAAACATTTTCGACAGCATGGACCTACTTTACATTGATATCGAGTATGACCTAACTCCCAACAATTATTACAATAAGTCATTTTAAGACCAGGTATAAATGCAGTTATAGGTAAAATTACATGACCAATAGCTAAACGACCAATACTTAATACCTCTTCATATTCATTTTCATTTGTAAATACAAAATCTAAAATTATCTGTAGATCTAGGACGATGATAATTAATTTTTGAAAATTGTATAGCTGATTTAATTGATCTTGATATTTCCTGAGTAACGAATTCTCTTGGTAAATCAGCTGGTACATAAAGTATAACTACTGCACAGGAATCAGGCAAAGCTCGAGGTCTTTCTATTTCAATATCAATTTTGTTCATGTCTGTTGGCCACTTACAATTCCAAAGCAACAAAAAGTCCTTTTTTGTTGTAACACCAACTTTATAACGATTTTTACCTGCCGGGACCAAAAGAGAAAAATCACCAAGTGATTGAGCTGATTGTTGTTGTATCAAATGACGAATCCGTGAAGCCACTTTCATAGCAGATAGTAAATTTTGTTGTTGAGCTAGATTATCATCAAGACTAAAATGTATATAAAAACATGGTAAATTAGTAGATGTTGCATGTTTTAATTGAGTTGAAGAAAAACAAAATTGACGATCAGTTGTTAATGATGATGATGTTATTTTATCCTTAGCATAAAAATTTGTTGGTGTTAGTTCATATGGATGAGATGTTTTTGTTCGACTTTGTAATTGAAATTCAGAAGAGTTACTTTCATCTAATGGACGTCGTGGTGTTGATGATGTTTGATTACATACTGTTAATGATGGTGGAACAATTGTAATATCAGTATGTGTTTTTGTCATTTGATTATTGATCAGCTGATATTGATGTTGAGTGGACGATGATGTAATTGGCTTGTCAGTTAATCGCGACGGATGTCGTGCTGATTGTTGAAGTGGACCAGGAGATGGAATAGATGAAGAACGTGAACGATGGGTCATCTTTTTATTTCTTTGTTCATTTAGTTGTTCGTTTAATTGTTGTTTCTTGTACGTTTCAACCACAAAATGCATAAATTGAACATCACCATTCATTTGTTTCAACCAATAATCAAAATCAGCCTGTTCCTTAATTGTTTGTAAACCATCTGGCGGAACTTGTTCTGCGGCCATAGGCCCGTACAAGTAATAGAAAAGGAAAGTAAAGAAAGTATAGTCACGAAACGAAAGAAAATACGTCTTATCGCTACGCGTATAACGTGATGAGTGAGAAGTGAACAGTTGTATAATAAGAGAGATGAACTTTTGAAATTGCGAAAACAAAATGTAGAAATGATGCAACTTGTTGCACGTCGCTCATTCTTGATTCTTAATCAAATCACGAAAATTAGTCTGACGAGGGACCATATCTAAGTGTCAAATCGCTTTTGGATCGAGTATATACTCAAACGATAGACCATAATGAGTCATTAAATATCCTACAAGAATTTGGTTGTCCAGGTCTCGTGAGTCGAGATATACGATATATTACTATTAGTAGTTTAGCTGTACTACTGTACTAATTTATTCGATATCTTAACTGAACATGTTGTGATTCGGCTCAAATTCATATCAGTACTAAGTCACCCAGTATTGATCAAGATCCCAGAGTTTGAACTTAAAACATTCTTTCTTATCGAATATATGAATGTGTTTGGTACATTGGTTGATTATTAAAAAATAGCATGTGCTTTTGCTCAAAGATACAAATATGGATTCATCTTATATTTTCAGCAAGCATTAATCTCAGTGTGAGGATGCATGTAAAAATGTCAGCTCAGTTGCCGATGCTTCAATCAATGGAATAGGAAGAATACATTTGGGTGCTTTTCAATACGTGATCTGTTTCCAATAACCTATGTATGAGTTGAAACTAATTAACAAAAACGAAGAGAATAAGGTGGATCATTTAATCAGTCGAATTGAGAGTTGGTGAAAAAATATTCCATACATTATATATAGACCAAGTAACTGGATCCAATGAACGTCCATGAGGAAGAATCACCCACGGGCTATTTGCAATAGTAGTAGATATTATATATCGCAATTAAGTATTTAAATATTCAGAGCGACCATATACTCCTCTAGACACTCCTTCTTTCACTTTAGAAACCATCCTCTTTTGAGTTGCATTAGTACCCAATTATCTCTCTTTGCCGATTTCGACCATCAACAATTTTATGTAAAGAACGCAGTCAAGCAAACGAAAATTTTATTTTGGTCAGTAATATATACATGCAAGATATCAACACCTTTCAAAAATTAAGCCTCATATATCAGTGCAGTATGTTCCATATTGAAAAGCACCCAAATGTATTCTTCCTATTCTTATTAACTGAAACATCGGCAATTGAGCTGACATTTCTACATGCATCCTCACTATGAAATTAATGTGTGCTGAAAATATAAGACGAATCTATATTTGTATCTTTGAACAAAAGCATATGCTATTTTTTAATAATCAGCCAATGTATCAAATACATTCATATCTTCGATAAGAAAGAATGCTTTAAGTTCAAACTCTTTAATCTTGATCAGTACTGACTGACTTAATACTGATATAAATTTGAGCCGAATCACAACATGTTCAGTCAATATATCGAATAAATTAGTACACTAGTACAGCTAAACTACTAATAGTAATAATCGTATATCTCGACTCACGAGACCTGGAAAACCAAATCCTTGTAGGATATTTAATAACTCATTATGGTCTATCGTTTGAGTATATACTCGATTCAAAAGCAATTTGACACCTAGATATGGTCCCTCGTCAGTCATTGCAATCTGATGTTCGTCGGCAGGCGCATTGTAAATCATTAGATAGGTAGAAGTCGTAAAGTATTTGAGATAATCTTTCGTATGACGAAGAACTTGCTCACCTGTAGTTGACATGGTTTTGGATGATAGTTTGAGATACAGAAGAAGAAAGGTTTAATGTAAGATGAAGAGAGAATTCGGGCTGTTTTATAGAATGAAGTGACAAAATCTTGTACAAAAAGACGGATGAATCAAACTAGGAAGTCCAAAAAATACGCCGTAACGTAAGTACGAAATACACAAAAAACACTTGTGTGTTGCAAACACTTTGGCAATGTTGATATGGTACTTGATTATGATTCAAAGTTGGAAATTTCACTAAATAATGTTTGCATTCACCTAACTGTACTTCGACATTGAAGTAAAAGAAATTGCGGCTGTTTCATCTCCCTACACTCGTTCTATTCCTCAAGTATCCTGTACGAGGCACACGCTCAATGATGAGCAGCCAAGATTGTTGCTTCTTCAGTCCACATTTTCCACATGTGAATTGAGATACCGACTTGAACTCATTTTCATTATTTTCAATGAAGAAAATGTAAGAATTTCGTATTGATATTCTTTTTATTTATCAATTTATGATTAATAAACAGTTGAGAGGAACGGAAATAGTTCACTTTTTCCTTATTTTTCTTCTATATCACTTGACATATTAAGAAGAAAAAAGTTGCATATAAAAGACGTTCTAATTCTTCTTCTCTTTTTATTCTCTAGATCGATTATTATCGACCATGTTGAAACCCATCAATAAGAAGCACTTACTGAATACTGTTGAAAATGAGTTATGTCTTCTCGAGGCAGCCTGTCGACATGTAATGTCAACGATCCGCATTGTCCAGTATCGAATGCACAAGCCAATGGTTAGGACATTATTTTTAGTAGAACTTACTTGAAAGCTACCTATGTAACGGTTGAAGTGTTTAATGAAACCATCAAACGACGTGTCTGATTAATAGAAGTAGGTGATCTATTTTTACTTGCCATGATTCAAAGTGAGACGTTTTATTGTGCTTATGAAGAAAAAGTTTTGTGTTTGCCATTTCATGAAACTAAAGTCGAATAAGTTTTGTTTTAGACGAGTGATTTGATTAATATTCATATTGATAACCTAAATACGACGGTGAATGATAAGCAACGCAATACAGTATCAGATTTCGATGGGAAAATGGTAATACATGCATACAAAACTATTCAATAAATACCATGATTCTGAATATTGACTCACACTACAACAATCTTAGATACTTGACAATTTATTCAAGAGAAATAAACGAAATCTATTGAATAGCCTTCTCATATTCAGGCTTGTAATATTTCTCAATTTCTCACTGCAGTTTTTATTTTTAACTTCCACAGAAAAAAAACTAGTTTATAATTCCATGTGAACAATTATATTTCAAAACTTTGTACATGAATATGTGCTTCGGCGAATTTTTCTTTCATCTTTTAACGTTGTTTTTACCGGCTGCTTCGGCTAGCACTAAATTGACGAATGCAAAACATGATTATAGCCATGTAGATGCCTTTTCCATCGCACCATAAACAGTGAAGAGAAAAAAAACGATAAAGCCATGTGATAGAATAGAACAATCGTCATCGTCGAGAAGCTACTAGAATCTTTGAGAAGCCCTTTAGAACAGAATAAGAATTGGTATACTGGTTTTTATCAGCTCTCTTTCTTTTTTCAAACGCGCACATATGCGCTATTCTTTTCTTCTCGTTCGTGTCGGCTAAAAGAAATAACCAGTAAGGATCGGTATATAAATTACAGCTCTGATCCTTTTCATTATGACATTATTTATACTTATTT